TGCACTTGTAGTAAATCCTGTAGATGAGTACTATGGAACTAGTGTTTTTGACTAATCTGGTAATATCGTCTGTGAGACGGATACCAAGAGTCAAAGCCATGTGTGTATTAGGACAGTGTAGATCTAAGGTGAAGTCTGGGAAATAATTAAAGTAAACTTAGCCCAATCATCCTTAGTCATAAGGCCAGTAGCCATTTCAACTACTGTTAACCCATTGACTTTTACCCAAATGGCCCAAAGACCACCTACCAGTACATTAACCAACCCTTACACATCATCCCAATCATTTGTAGCCCATAAAGGCCCAAGAATTGATTATATCAAGGCTTTTACCCAGAATGTATTAGCCATTGAATTTTCTCACTCCCAGTACAAGGATCCAAGAGATCTGGTGAAAGCCTACCTCCCTAAAGGTTGGAATTTCATTCCTGTTGATCTTGAGAAACCACATAGTTTCTATCAAGACATTCTTTTTTTTACAAAATCCATTCTTACCAGGCCCATACCAGATAAGAATGACCCATCTAAAACTCTTTACCATGCATTAACTATATGCAACATTATTTCTGTTGAGGAATGGGGTTCTCATCCATCTTTACTCCGAGATCTTCCATTTCACACCAGACAATTTAATTACTATGACTACATTGAGTCATGGTCTAAAATATTACTCTACCAAAATGAGGATTTGACCCATTCTTGGTTCTTATCTTTTCATAAAGATTTCAAGAGCCGCATTCCTGCGTGGTTCCTACAGTGGTGGCATCAACACGGCCCCATTAATGAAATCTTTCCAGCTGATCTTTTAGATCAGATTAATATCTTCTCATCTGTTTACCGTCCTAGTAGACACGAGAGCCCTGTCCCCCTTTTACTAATATTTATTTGCAGGTACAAAGTCCCATGGATTCTCAAATGGCAATGAAAAATTGTTGGATTCAATTTAGTCCGGCAATTTTATGCCAAATGGTGGCCTAGGTTCCAACAAGGCAACATTATTGCCCTGATTCAAGAGGATTTTTCTGTCAAGGTACCAACTCCAGTAGCAGTCCCAAGTACCTTACTACCAGTCACTCCTGTTAAGGCCCAGTCTGCTCAGCAAATTAGGCCCATCCTTCCTGAAAAGGTAGCCCAGCCAGAGGAATCTTCATCTAAGGGTTCCAGTAAGAAATCCAAAAGGAAGTCCAAGGCCAAGCTCCTCCAGAAGCTCCTACACTAACTTAATTCGGATAGTGACTCATCAGCATCTTCGCAAGGATCTGTATCAGCAGAACTCCCTCCAGGATATGCCCAAGATCCATTTGCAGCATTTGAAGATATTGATGAGCTCACCCCGGATCTGGCACTCCCGTGAATTATTGTTTACATAAAATGGCTTCAATCACTACTTTCTTCCAATAAAGAAAGAAAAGCTGTCCATTCTATGTAAATCATAATATCACATTATGTCAACCGAATCTGCTTTTCCACCGAAAGATAGATTCCCAGGACAAAAGCAGGACCCACTAGTCCCTTCTGTCTGTCCTTTTCCCATGGGTAAATTCATGTTACTCCACTTTCCAGCCGAAAGCAGCAAAGTGAAATGCTTTACCTACAAGTGAAAACAGAAGAGAAATAATTGCAAAAGATTCCCTCCGGAGTCCCTTATCCCTATATAAGGCAACTCCATTTAGAAGAGTAAGCAGGTTGAATTTTAGCAAGTCTAAAATTTAAGACCATATTACAAGCCCTCTAAATCTTGTAAACATACCCTTCTCTTGTAAAGCCTTCTTCAATGCAAAAGAAGAGCTTAGAAGCCTTTTATTTTACCGTTTATTCCCACTAGACCAGTAGTTCTAGTGTTGTAAGTATTTATTTTCTTGTAACAATATTCTCTGTATTTTCCATCTGATTCCCTGATTCTATTTCCGCATGTTTCTTTCAATTTTGGTATCAGAGCCATTTGACGGCCTGGTGTCCTATCTCTGCAATTACATTTGAGTCATCTAACTCATCTTTAAATTTTCATTTGATTCATATTAGAAATCATTTGTAAGTTTTGGTTGTACCCGATCACCCAACCTTAATCCAGAACCTCGAAAGCACGTAAGCCTTTCTTTGTCCCGAGTGTAAGTCCAGTTGTGGCAGATAAGGGATTTTAGGCGAGAAGTTGAGAGAACTTGGAGCCAGATTAGGGGGTATGTATCGTGTAGTTGAAACTTACTTATTATTTCTAATTTGATAAAATTTAAATTTAAAATATGAGTAGATTTCTTAGATCTAATTCTAGGGCTAGTACATCTAGATCTTCAGATTATTCTATACCACATAGAGTTAATGAAGAAGAACTAGAAGTAGAAGAATCTAAGGCAGACTGGAAAAAATGGAACATTCCTCCAGTTAAGGAAAAATGTATTTACAGCACAACTTGGGTTCAAAAAACCTTTAGTGAAGAACATCAAGTTAAAACTGTTGAACAGGTACATCCCCTCAGAAAAGAGGATGATATCTGTGAACTCCTCAGTAAGGAGACCCTTAAGAAACACAAGACCAAAGGATTCAATTTTATTCACATAGGTCTTGTCCAAGTGGCTATTAAACCACTTATTACCCAAGGCAGAAATGCTGCTGCCTTATTAGTTCTCAGAGATGCAAGACAGACTCAAAGGAAATCCTCCTCCTTGGACCTCTGTCCATACTTCTATTGTTCAACAGGTCAAGAAGTTCATTAAAACTCTTCCCTGTCTTGGAATCCCTTCTGTTGACTCCTTCAAGATCATTCAGACTGATGCCTCAGATATTGGCTATGGCGGTATCCTCCTTCAGCGAGAATCTCTTAATTCTCCTGAGCAACTTGTTCGATTCCATTCTGGAATTTGGAATAAAACCCAAGCCAATTACTCTACTATTAAAAAAGAGATTTTATCTATTGTCCTGTGTATCTCTAAATTCCAGGATGATATATTAAATTAGAAATTCCTGATACGGGTTGATTGTAAATCCGCAAAGGATGTTTTAACAAAAGATGTTAAAAATATTACTACTAAGCAAATTTTTGCAAGATGTCAATCTATTTTAAGTATTTTCGATTTTGATATAGAATATATTAAAGGAGAACATAATTATATCCCTGATTTCCTAAAAACCCTAACGCCTCCTTATCTCGCCTCTCTCTCCCTCTTTGTTCTCTGTGCTAGTTGACCTAGCTCAATTGCTCGACTCTCTTGCCCTCTATGTTCTCTGTGCTAGCTGACCTAGGTCAATCACTCGACTCTCTCACCTCTCTACTCTGAGTGCTCTCTGGCCTCTCTTCGAGTCCCAGCCTCCTAGGTACTCTTCTCTCTCTCTCTCTCTATCAGTTGACTATTTGGGGGTAATTCGATGTCATCGAATCGATGGTCCCAGGTAATGATTTCTTTGAATTGATGGTCCTAGGTTTGTCGATGGTTGGTGATTTTGCTTAGGGCTACAAATACTATGATTTTTTTAGATTTTAAAGCTCTGTGCTCTCTCTTTCTCTCCCTCTTAGTTGACTGTTTGGGGGCAATTCAATGCCATCGAATCGACAGTCCTAGGTACTTCGTTCATCGAATCGACAGTCCTAGGTACTTTGTTCATCAAATCGACAGTCCTAGGTGGTACTTTATCGATGATTGATGGTTTTGCTTAGGGCTGTTGGTTGGTGGTTTTGCTTAGGGTTGTTGGTGATTTTTCTGAGATTTTATGGCTTTGTGCTCTGTGCTGCTGCATTTCTAAGATCAAGAAAATGGCCAGATACTACGATTTGTGAGATTTTATGTATAGCTGTTGATTAGAGCTATTGGTTGGTGGTTTCGCTTAGGGCTATTAGTGGTTTTTTTGAGATCAAAGTATGCAATTTGTGCTCTGGTGCTTTCTAAGGTCAAGAAAAGGGCCGTATATTATGATTTCTGAGATTTTATGTATAACTGTATGTCTCTGTGGATTTCTGAGATTTTATGATTTCTGAGATGGAGTAAATTCTGAGCTTTTGTTTGTGATCATAGTATATGATTTCTGAGATTTTGTTTGTGATCATAATATGTAAAATGTTGATTACTTAGACCACAAAATGGTCAGTTACTTCTCTTAGACCACAAAATGGTCATTTGCTAATTTTTTTTCTATTTTTGTTTACAGATCCTTATGAATAATATTACTCCACAATTATCTACTCAAGTTGATTTTAAAAGTAACATCCAAGTTACTGATGACATTTAGGTTGAGGAACAAGACACAAGAAAATGATCTAGAGTTTGGGAGCATTTTGAAAAGATTGAAGTTACAGATGAAGCTAAATATAATCATTGTAGTAAGATTTACAATTATCATCCAATTGCAGAGAAATAATTACAAAGAAAATTGCAATTGCTCATTAGTAAAGAAAGGAGAATGACACTAGCAAGAAATGTGCTATTTAACTTTTACATATTTTTTTTAATAATTATAAGATTATTTGTGTGGTATAATTTAAAATATTGTTATTGTTGTGGATGCTTGAGTTGCTAAAATATCGACTTGTTTTTTGCGCATATTACATGATTTGTGGTGATCTATTGAAGTAGTTATAATTTTTTGATGTGTTTTATATGGTTTAAACTTAAAATAATTATTATTGTATTTATACAACAATTATGTATTGATGTTTATACCTTGAGCTTTCTTGTGTATTTTATTGTAATTGTTTTAGGCTTTAGTGTTATTGGTTTATTGTGTTGTTAAATTTGTGGATGTTATTTAATTGAATTGTTAAAATGATCCAAAAATTAATAATTACAAAATATTTTCACTTTATTTCCTACCCGATTAATTTGGACGGAATTTGGGTAGAAATACTACACTTGATCGGGTAAGGTAGACAAAAAAAAAATTCTTCTGCAAAGTATCAAGTAGGAAAATAAAAGATCATATTTCTTATCTGTAGGATAAGGTGAACACCTCTAATTTTGACTTTTTTAAAATAAAATTTTAATTTTGAAAAAGTCATATTTTACCTTTGGTCAATGATTGATTATGAGGTTTGTGTAAATCACATTAACCACGTAATCAATCATTAAAGGTGTGTAAATCATATTTTACCTTTGGTTATTGTCAATTACATTTTACCCTCTTTGCTAAATCTCTTAAATTGCCCACTTAATCAGTATACTTGTTTGTGTATGCTAACCTCAAATCCTATTTTTCCTTCAATGTCTCATTCCCATTTGTACAGGATATAATATGAAATCAATAGTTATAATTTGTGATTAAATATGAGAAAATAACAATTGAGGGATAATGTGAAATAAAGGCATAGGCTTAGGGGGAAAGTGTAATTTTCTGTAGCTATAAATATCATATAATAACAACTGAAAATCCAATCCCTTGGCAGGTCCGGCGTAGTTTCAATCCATAATGGTACTTGTTTTCTTCTTCCCCTTTCAATCCATAGGTTTATCTCTCCTAATTTATCCCCTTTTTTTCTGTGAATTTTCTTGATATTGATCATCTTGATGATCAAGAAACTAACTGTTCTTATCTGTGCGACTGAAAACTAGGCTAGTGGTGGTGGCGTTGAAGAGTCAAAGAAGCTGAAGCTCTATTCATATTGGCGGAGCTCTTGCTCTTGCCGTGTTCGTATTGCTCTCAATCTGAAAGGTGTTGCTAAAATAATAAATCTCTTAACTCTCTGTTTCTCTGAGTGTGTTTAATTGATCTTATGTATTTGATCGTTTACATTTCTTGAAAACCTCAAATCTTGATCAATTGGAAATTTTTTTTTTTATTTTATTTTGGGTATTTGTATTGAAAACAGGACTTGATTACGAGTATAAAGCTGTTAACTTGGTCAAAGGAGAGCAGTTCAGTCCTGGTTAGATTTCTTTTCACTCCTTTTTGTTTCCATGTTAAATGAAACATAAATAGAGGATGGATAAATATGAGAGTAATTGCCTTTTGCATGCTATCAAAAGTAGGCATGTACCGAGTCCACCCCTACGATAGGGACCCAAATTATGGCGTAGTTAAAAGTTTTTATCCAATTTTTTTGTCATATAGAATCTATGAAATAACTTTTACATGATAAATTTTAGCATTATTTAATTTTCATAAAATTGAGAAACTTAATTTAAATTTGTTAAATTAATTAGATGAAAGATGATTTTAGGTCAATTCTTATGAAATCAACCATTACATAATCACTTGGTAAAACTAAATTTCATTATGCCTATACGAAGGTAAAAATTCGAACAAAATGAGATAGACAGTGTGTATATCTCTTAAATATATATTTTATATGACCTTGGATCCTATATATAAGGTTTGGATAAATTAGACTTTGTTCTCTTAAATTATGACCCTCATTTGATCTCAGCCCTTCAATTATTAAATCGAACTCGTTGCACCATTAATTATTCAAATTTGTAACCTTTTGCACCAATTATTAAGATTTATTTCGCTGAAATTGTTATACTTTGGACGAAAATAGTCCAAAAAACTATTTGGAAATGTTTAATTGTGCAATTTGTTTGAATCAATAGTTGAGGGATATAAAGCAAAATCAAGATCACCATCGAAGGATATAAAACATACTTTTCATAATTTGAGGGGCCATGTAAAGTAAAAAAAAAAATACATTTTGGGTTGAAATATAATTTTGAAATAAAGAGGGCCAATTTTAAAGGTATAAAGTGTAATTCTAGAAACTTGAGGGGGGCCATGGCCATCCCAGGCCAAAGCTTAGCTCCTACCATCAACCTTGGTGAAGGGGTCAAAACTGTATATTTTGATTTTTTTTTAATCTTTATGATAGTGGTGAAAGGTGATTGGTTTTTTAGGCTTTATGATGGTAAAACAAACACAAGTATATGGTAGCAAATGCCATATAACTGATAAAATTGGATGCCTTGTTTCTTATTCAAGCTGTAAATGGTTTATATTTCATGGATACATTATCTATAAATACATAATTTTCACTCGTTGAGGTTGTGGGTTCAAACTCGAGGACAATCACCTTGTGCAAATAATGTTAAATTCGTACGATGCAACTGAAAAATGTTAGCCCTTTACTAGGTTTGGCACTAGCGCGACTTGCTTTGCTTTTATTGTGGAGCTCGCTGATTTTCAGTTTTTTAGGAGTAGGTACTTTCAGCTTTATATTCAAGCGGAGCTTGCTACTTACTCCACGAGTCACCACAGCTTTGCCTACAATACTTGTATACTGGTAACAATAGTACCGTCCAACTTATAGATCTTGGGGCAACAATAGTACCTTCCAATAATAGTACCTTAGCATAGCTCATTGAACCTTCCAACTTCACTCCGTAGCTTGTACTAAAGAAGCATGCGTTAACTAATTTCTTTGAACTCATTTAACCTATTCTACCTCTCGATATCTCCTCACCTTGCATCTTTTCTTTGTTTTCATCATCCCATGGTCCCATTCCTATGTCGTGGAAGTGCAACACTACTCCTTCATTCTTGTATGTAATTAGCTTTGTTCCAATATACCCTTAGCCTCCCATTGATGTGGTGTAAATTGGATGTTAGTTTTTTGCCTTTTAGTTTTTATGATTACTCCTATGCTGTTATTGTTAAGCGAGTTTGTATACGATGTTGAATAACTATTACCACCAAGGTTAGTTTATATACTTGAGGGGCCATTCCACCTATTATCAATTTGTTTTGAGTTGGATGCTCTAACATGGTATCAGAGCTGGGCATTGGGTAGTCAGTAGGTCAGGTCTCTTACCCTTTTAAATCCCGGTATATAAGGTTATTTATTTGTTTGTTTATTGACCCAACTCGAGAGGCTACTCCACCCTTTGCCATTGGATGTTCAATCAATTATTATCTTTATCATTGGTGTTATTGTTATTATTGTTGTTTTTACCATTGTTGATCTTATTGTTATCATTCTTCTTGAATTATATAGAGTATTTGAAGCTCAATCCTATTGGTTATGTGCCGGTGCTAGTGGATGGTGATATAGTAGTTGCTGACTCTTTTGCCATCTTAATGGCGAGTATTGCATGTTCTTCCTCTTTAGTACTCCTTCACATAATAAGCAATTGATTGTACAATCTAGGGCATCTTAAACATAATGAGTATTGGTCATGTGCAGTATCTGGAAGAGAAGTATCCTCAACATCCATTGTTGCCCCAAGATCTGCAAAAAAGAGCAATCAATTACCAGGTACAAGGCATTTTGTTTCTTGCTCTTTTGAAATTTGACTGCTCTATGACAACTATTTATCACCGGCAATTTGTAAATTCTTATGAACGGGTTTATTCTTGAATCAACCCGTTAAGACAAGAGTATTTATGTTAGCGTGTTGCAAATCTCTGCTTGTGATGTTGACTGGTAAGGAAGTAGTTACCAATTTGATGAGGTCACAATGTGAACAAAAATTTCATTGTTGCATTGAAATTATTGTGCAGCAAAACAATTAACCATACGCGATAGTTCTTGCCTACAAATAACATGGAGTGCTGTTGATTGTGAATGTTTGATATTCAATGAAGCATCTAACAAAAGGGTATATCGCTTTGTGTATTGGTTAGGATCTTGTCTACTGTGTTAAAGTGATACCTATGTAAGAGATTGTATAGGCCCAATAATTCATCATTCAAGGTCTTCTTTTACGTCGATTTTTCTAGCTTGAATCTGATGCCTTATGTGCTTGATGGACCTGGATTGCCAGGAAAAAAAACTGCTGGTCAAATAAAAGGAATTGATTGTGTTCTTCTATTTGAGCTCATTTCAATTATCATCACGTTAGGAATGAAGGAATGCTGCAACATATGTTCTTTTAGTCAGTTGCCAAGACCCAAAAATCACTTAGTAGTAGAAATCTTTCCCCTGTACCCTCTCTCTCAGACCAACACTGTCAATTTAAATGTGTTCTGGTAAATGTTTCTTTTTTTCTATCATATATAGCATTGCCCCCCTAAATATCACCTGTTTTCTTTCAAATCCTAGGGCTAGCGAAACCTACTAAAGTAAGGGATAGTGAAGAACTGTTTAGCTGACCCTGCTCTTGTTGAAACTTTCTTCTAGATTTAAAGAAACTTGAATAATGCAGTGCATCTAGCTTTAGGGACCACTACCTGGTGTAGTGGTAGAAGCTTGGGTTCATAACTGTGAGGTCATAGGTTCAAGTATGAGGGTGCAAGTATGTCAAAGATTAGGTCTTTACCCAGTCCACTCCTAGCTTTATTGATTGATGATGATCAAACTGGGTAACTATGTTCTTGTATGATAAAGCGATTCTCTATTATCAATATCAGTTTCCTATTGTAATCAGGCACAATCTTTGTTTCACTTTTTCATGTTTCCTTTGTTTTCTGCTCTAATTCCTTGCATCCATCTCGCTGTGTATTTCCTATTTTAACTTGTAGGCCGCAAATATTGTTTCCTCAAGCATACAGCCTTTTCAGAATCTAGCTGTATTGGTGAGTATTAATTTGCCCTTTCTTTGCTGAATCAGATTATGTCATTGTGACATTGTTCGAGCATGGCATGACTTGTAAACTTACCTTCATTATCCATTTGCAGAAGTATATTGGGGAAAAAGTTGGTCCTGATGAGAGGCTTCCTTGGGTTAAATATTGCATTGGAAATGGCTTTGCAGGTAAGCTTTGATCTAACTGCTCTTCCCTTTCCTGACTCAAAAATACTAAGAGGAGAAAGGCACATCCCTGCTTAATCTTTGACAACTAAAATGCTTCACTATAGTACTCTACAATTTTAACTGAAAAAGTTGCGGTTTATGTAAGTGGACAACTCAATAATGTCTTCCACCTTGAATTCTACCTCCTTATCCGAGTTGTATTCTCTTTCCTTATTCTAAGCATGCCGTAAGTAACTTAAAATCAATCGCAGTAGATTATGATATTGCAATGCACTTGTTTCATTGTCTAGGTAACAATTCAACTGAGAACTGATCAGTTGCCAAATTTCATGAAACAATTGCCAAAAACGTTTTCATGCCAACTGAAACCTTTTCGTCACTCATCGAATAATAATATTTTAACATATTGCAATGTTGCACTGGCATGATTGTTTTTGGTCATTTTGTATGCATCTATGTTTCATTTAGAATTGCTTTTCTGAGCATTCTTCTGCACAGCCGATTTTCATTGTTTCCTCATGTTTACCATGTACTGAAATTACTGATGTTACTTCCCTCAGCCTCTCAGGAGGTTGCCTCTTCTTAAATTTGGAAACCTTGTAAGTGAACCCTTACATTTCTTCTAGCTGATTTGAGTGATAGGTTGGATCAGACGAAAACTTCTGTTCTAGATCACAAACTGTAGTTGGAATGATAAGTACTATGGCTTGATCTTGCCACCTCAAATCCATGACTGGTTAGGTCCACCATACCTGTTTTTTAGTCAAGAATTTTGTAGGCATGACTAATGCTATGTATAGATCTTGGCAATTCATGTTCTGGTATATTAGTGTGGATAACCTAGATCATTGCACTTCCCTGGATAGCTTTAAATTAGCATTTGAAGTATTTTTTTTCCTTTGGGAGGTGCTTTGCTTTTTCTCTTTCTCAATCTGAGCATGCACATTTTCTCGTACACTTATATAGAAATTATATCTTTCTATTTGCCGCAACATTTTACCTTACGTGACAGGGGTTGGCTTGCTTCAAACCTTACATTAACTCTTTCACTGGACTTGTCATAGCTCATCTAGTTTATCTAGTGTATAGATGCTAGATGGTGTAGACTGACAGCTTCATTGCTTCTGCCTACATCTATAAGGTTTTCTTTCTTATTTTTACAAATTTCAAGGAGATAACAAGGCCAATTGCTAAGTACTGCACCTGGAATGAGACACATAAAAGCAAGCCACTTTCTGGAAATAATCTACTTGAGAGTTCAAAATATACAGCATTTGTCACAAGTCAATTATCCTATCTTTCCTTGCTATTGATTCTACTATCTAATTATTAGTTGAGATACACAGTGCCATCTATTAGATTAAGAAGAATGAGATGCCATATGAAATCATGGATACAATTTGGATTGAGGTAGGGAGTTCTGAATATTTAAATTCTTATCTCTCCTTAAACCCCCATCTTAATAAATCATCGTCAAGTTTGTTTTCCTTCCTGTAAATTCGGTTTTCATTGTATGTAAGTGAACTAGCCCCTTCTTCAAGCTGCAAAACTGATTGCTAAGTCAGATATAGGCAGGCTTCCTTTAACTTCGTGGAGAATCTGTGGAAAACTGCAATACTGTTATACCTATTGGGCACGAGTAGGAAAATTTATGTATTCAGTGGTTTCATGTTTTAGGAGTTGTGGAAGTCTTGGTATATTAAAAGGTCTTGGCTAGACTGTGAGATTAATGTTTTTATATTCGCTGCGCAAATAACCATTGGAAAAAAGCAAGTGCCTAATGGCTTAAGATTCAATTGAATTAAAAAACTATTTCACGTACCTAAACATTCACTTGTAAATTCATACAAGTTCTGGTCGTGGTTAACTTAAGCGTATCTGTTTGCCTGTTTCATTGTGCATTTGTTGCAGCTCTTGAAAAGCTATTAAAAGGCTATGCTGGAAAATATGCTACTGGAGATGAGGTTTTCCTGGTTTGTTTTTTCCCTCGTACATGTTTTGTTGCCTGTATTGCTTGCAGTATAAACACTTGATTGTGCATAAAGATGTAAATTGCTTGGGTTCGGTGTAAATGTGGGTAGGTACCGAATATAGATTCAATTTTAAATACTACAACCCAGTTCAATTCTAAAACATGACAAGTTCTGGTTGATTGTTTTCGACTTTCAAGTTTTCCTTTAATTATGACTTCAAATATGCGAAGATAATGTGTACTTAGATTTCCTTATCAAAATTACTTGTACATTATATTATTTGATCACTTTATAAAAGAATTCTTTTGAAAAAGAAAAGATCAACAGTGTGATGTGTTCTATTGGATCGCATCTTAACTGGATAGGTTCCACCAACTCCCTAGTTTGGTTTGCCTATAATCAATATGATCACTTTCTAATCAACTGCAGAAGAATTTCCTATAATCTGACTTGCTGGCTATCACTTGCAGGCTGATTTGTTTCTGGCACCCCAGATCAATGTAGCAATTAAAATGTTCAAGCTTGACATGGTAGTGCCCTCCTCTCTCTTCCCCCCAGGAAAAAAATAAAAAAGGAAAAAAGGTTTGGCATTTTAGTGTGCATTTATTCACAAATTTTTGCATCTGTGGAAATTCCAATTTCTAGTTCAAATGAACCCCTCAAATTTACATGTATGACTTCTAGAATTCCAGTATTCTTGAAGGTGAGGGAAGGTATTTGATGTTGTTTCCAATTACATGAAATTTATTTGCTGTCTAATCAATCAAGTTTTATCTAATGTGTTGTTGCTGTTCCAGGAACTATGATAGTCCTATGGAATATGCTTACGGTAAAAATAATTTGTCTTCTTGTTCAGGGAAATTGTATTTTGATGTTTACGTCATGTGTATGGTATTTAAGATATATGGTAAACCATAAACACCCCATGGACTGAGATTGCATTATCAGCTATCTTACTGTTCAGTTGGCCTTTCATACTTCCTTTATCACCGTAAATTTATTATAATAATTATTTTTTGAACGTTGTAAAATTCTTCTTTGCAAAGCTCCAATTTATTCCTTTTCCATGTAGTATTCTGCAATAGTTATACCTTCGCATCCTTGCCTTTTCCAGTTTGTAATGCTTCTGCTGCTGGTTGCCTATTACATCTATTTGTTTAACAATTGTAATATGCAATATACGAAGTTCTCCCTCAAACTAATACATGGTTCACTTATTCTCTACTTTGTCATTCCATAACTTTAATCCATTGAATTTCTGCTGCATTGTTATCCGAAAAAGAAGATATTTTAACTTTCTCAATGGTTTTGCAGACAGAGTTCCCTCTTTTATCTAGGTTGAATGAGGCTTATGAAGAGCTACCCGCTTTTCAAGATGCTATGCCAAAAAAGCAGCCCGATACACCAGTCGAGGAAAGGGGTTGAGGTATTGAATAATCTGAAAGACCTAGTATACTTTATCTTATTGTTCGTCTTTTTACTCAGTCGTGGAGTGCAGACTTCTGGGATCCCAGAAACATTGATGCATTATAGTGGATCTTCCAAGTTGTGATCAGTATTTGATGCATTGTAGTGGATCTTCCACTGCATAATAATGAATCTTTCATGAGGCATTTTTGCATTCTCCTGATTCCTTTTTCTTTCTTATTTTGGTTTTCCCAGATCAGTCTTCCCACCCCTTAATTGCAGCATATACAGCTTCGGGGCGTGCATGTGTTGTGCAAGGACAGCGCCGGGTGTGTTGGATTTTACTATCATGGACCTCTATGGCCAAATAAGAATAATTATGAAATGAAATAAGTTGAGGTGGTTGAATATTTGAAACATCTCTCCATCTTTTTTCTGAATTTCAAGTCGTTTTGTGTCCAGTGAAAGTTGTTTATGTTATTTCTGTTTATAAATTGTGCCACAGTCAAGAATTCATGGTGCCGGTCTTAGAATACCGTATCAGTTGGTCATTATCTTAGTTTGGTCCTCTCTAATTAAGTGAATGCTCGGAGGAATGAAGTATGAGTAACTTTTGCATATGATTTTTAAATTATGATCTTTGTGTCAATTAAATTAAATTTTTTTTGTGTCAATCAAGTGTTTGAATTTTTTTTATTTGTGTCAATTAAGTCCTTGAATTCTTTAATTGTGTTAATTGAACCCTTCTATTTACCTCTGTCAGTGTGTATGTGATCAAATGGCAGAAAAAGACAAAAATGTTCAATTGACATAATTAGGGAGTTTAAAAGTTTAATTGACAGCAAAAAAAAATAAAAAGTTCAGGTCTTATTGTTTGATGGGCATATTTGTATTCATGTGTATCACACGAGTGATATATTTGTTGTCTCCCAAAGTGCATCTTCAAAAGTCCAAAGCATTGGAATGTAAACATGAAGAACATATAATATATTAAATTAGTTTGGAATCCTATACAAAGAATATATGCTTAGAAACGCTGAACAAGTTGTGCCACCGAAATTAGTGAAGAGCCCAAAATCGACCGGCTCAGGCCCAATAAAAATAAATCGACAAAGTTCAAAAGAAAGTTCAAATCGAAATTAGGTCAATCCATTTGGAAAGAGTCTAAAGCACCAAAGGAATTAAGAGGCGTCAAGTATCCTCAAAGGGGGGCATTGCCCAAGTGGGCGCCGCCCAAGGGTACCCCAAGGGGGTGCCACCCAGGTGGTATTCAAAAGGGCGTTGCCCATGACTTGCCTTCCTGTCCTTCTTCTCCACTCCAATGTAAATCCAAATTCACACCACTCCAAGTCCAAGCTTAAAATCAGGATCAACCCAGCTCAAGATTATCCTCCGATGGAATAGGGACACGAGCGAGAGAATATCGGGATGCAAAAATTCATTCCTACTAAGGTTATACTTACCAAGACAGTGGAAGACCCCTTTCTCACATCACCGCCTCACCGCCTTGGTATGTCTATATAATGTAAGTCCTCTACATGTAGAGAACATGCTCTCATATTCTTGAGATACCTACACACACTACATCCCACACCCATTACTCTCTCTCTCTCAAAGGCATTGTAATACTCCTGAAGAATACTCTTCGGCAACTTCATTCATTAATAAAAGACTCAGGTCACCGCTGCCATTCTCGAGAGTGGAGTAGGTCACCCGGACCGAACCACTATCATTCTCTGTGTTGGCTCCTTATTTACAGGTTTATTATTGATTGTTTTATTTATTATTCATTAACTCCACCCGTTCATATACTTGACTGTTGATTTTGCACAACAACCAATTTGTGTATCATCAGTTTGGCACCGTCTATGAGAACGACTAATTTTCCTACTCTTTCAATCCATGACAATCACTATCCGATCAATGAGCCAACAGCCGAGAGACAATAACCTGACTCACCCGGAGAAGGTTCCGCCTCCCCTCGTACCATCTGAACCATCTACTATTACGACTCCTGCTGGGCAGCAGCAATAGCTCCTCCAAACCATGCAACTGTTGGTGAACCAAAACAAGCAGATTATCTAGTTGATGCCCGCCCAAGGGGGCGTCACCCTTCACCTTGCGAGAGGAGCCCCACCCCCTCCAGTAAGAGAGGAGCAACAGCCTGCCCATAGTGGGTGCCAGGCAACCCCTCACCATGGGACCCCTCGCCAAAACACCCAATAGCCACGCCAAGGCGTTCCTAGCCTAGTAGTCCCTCCTCAGTAGGCAGGGAGTTCACGAGTTTCCTCCCCTGAAGAACCAATGCAGGAGAACAAAGATAGAGAAAGTCAATACGAAGACCACGAAAGCCCGTATCATCACCCGACTGAGGACGTCCCCAATCACTGGGACGAGAAGATTAGGAAGGTGCAAAACCAACTCAGCGATGCCCTCAAAGCTATCAAGGCACAAGCGCCTGAAACTGTGGACTACCTGGTAAGACGCACTGACTCACCTTTTGTTGCTGACATATTCAATTATCCCTTACCCTTGAAATTCAAGATGCCTACCATCGAGTTCTTCGAAGGTACCAAAGACTTTCTTGACCACCTAGACACTTACGAATCTCTCATGTAACTCCACAACGTGTCTGAAGAGATTATATGTAGAGCCTTCCCTACCACCCTTAAGGGACCCGCACGCCAATTATTTTCAAAGATCAATCCCTCTTCAATTCACTCCTTCACGAAGTTAAGTAGATTTTTCGTCTCCCACTTTATTGGGAGACGCTGACATCAGAAACTAGTGACCCACCTACTCACCATCAAGCAGGACAAGGATGAAAGCTTGAGAGACTATCTCACCTGCTTCAATGAGAAGGCTCTCTAGATTGAGGAGTTAGATGACAAGGTAGCCCTGACCGCCTTTATCGCCAGCCTTCGCACCTCTAGTTTTATGTTCTCTGTTCTCAAGAAGCCGCTCTCCAGGATGCCCGAGCTGCTGTTTAGGGCACAGAAATATATGAACGCCGAGAATGTCACGAAGACTAGACGAGGTGAGTTCTCCCATGGGGGCGAGAAAAGGAAGGATGCCCGTAAAGACAGGTGGGAGGTGGAGAACAAGAGAAAGATGACAAAGAGAATCTATGTTTAGGACCGCCTTGGTCCCCCACCTCTTAGAGAACGGCAAGCCTTTACGCCACTTAATGCTTCCGTGGAACATATCCTATTCCAAATACAGAATGACCTTACAGTACGCTGGCTAGAGAAGATGAAGACCGCCTCGAACCGGAGGAGTCCGAACAAGTACTGGCGCTTTCACTACGACCACGGCCATGACACTGATGACTGCTTCGATCTTAAAAGGCAGATCGATGAGCTCATACAGCGTGGCCGCTTGAGGCAATATGTTGCTGGCAAAAGATAAGCCCCGCAACCTGGTCGGGATCAGGATGATAGAGAACGTCAACAACCCTCGAAGAAATTCAGATGATCGCCTAGGGGCTAGGAGGAGTTGACTAGAACTCTGCCAAAAAAGCCTCAACCCACCCATGGACGCTGAAAACCAAAAGATTTTATCTATCCTTTATTGTTTCAATTGATTTATTTTGTTATTTATTATTTTATGAAATAACACTCTGCGAAGATTATTGTGTCCGAACTGTTTTCCTAAAATTTACAAATAACTTACAAAAGTCAAAGCATGACTTAACAATAAGGAAGACAAAAAGACAAAAGGCGTCATCGCCAGACGCCCAGCAACAGACGCCCGGACGAGGGGTCTTGCCCTCTCCACCTTGGGCGTCTTCCATGCTAGGACTATGACTCTGCTCTCGCGCAAGTAGTCACCTAGAAACCTCTGCCACGATAGCCATCTTCCGAGACTATACGTAGTTCGGCCTCTATGACTTCGCTCTCGCGCAAGTCCATCTCCCGAGACAAAACGTAGATTGGCCTCTATGACTCTGCTCTCGCACAAGTCTATCTTCCGAGACTATACGTAGCTCGGCCTCTATGACTCTACTCCTGCGCAAGTCCATCTTCTAAGACTATACGTAACTCGGCCTCTATGACTTTACTCTCATGCAAGTCTCTGCCGCGACAGCTATCTCTCGAGACTATATGTAGCTCGACTTCAGCTCATGCAGCCCTTTCACGGGACATCCACAGCTCTGACGTTGCTCTCATACAAACAACCTACCCTTCTCTCCAGGTAATCATATTAGATATTTTAATGTTGAGATAACATTATTTTTGCTAGACACACTGTTGAAGCTAATGTCGTCTGCAACTGAACCACTACTAGAAGCAGGGTGAATCCACAGTCCCCATAAAAACTACATTGGAGCCTTAACTCCTACAGCCGTATAAGGACTAATTTTGATATACACAGAAGTCTCAATCTGGGAAGGAGTGGGGGCACCACCGGATCCCGCTCCCAGGAAACAACCTGGTCATCGGACCTTCGTCGAAAAGCATTGGGGCATCAAACCTCGCCCTCTTGGGAGGAGGAAAAGGCACCACCCTAAAAGCATAAGAGTCTCCACCATCACTCTATCAACAAGGTGCCTATAATTAGAGACAAGGTCAATTAGTGACCAAGCACCAGAGAGGCGCCGCCCATAACAAGACTCAAAGCGTCCCCCAAACACAATAGTGCTCAAGGTATCCTGACGTCGCCCAAGGCGCCTGACCAGCCTCCTGACATCACTTGAAGCACCATCTCAGTCTCCCCTAGTGCCGCCAAGCTAGCATCGTCGCCCAACGCCTGGCACCCAACAGATCCTCTCACTTGACCAGCAGGAGTCGCTCAAGGAGGAAGCCAAAAAAAAGGGGAAGCAAAGGGCGACGCCCAAGTAGCCAAGAAAAAAAAAAAGGAAAACAAAGGAGGACGCCCAAGCAGCCAAGAAAAAGAACAAAAAAAAAGAAAAAAAGAGAAGTATGTAGCACCCAAGCAAGAAGGAAAGAAAAAAGATAAAAAAAAAAAGAGAGAGAGAGAAAGAGAAAGGAGAAAGCAGACTCACCGCCCTGGGAGGCCCTAGCCAAAGAAAGAAAGAAAAAAAAAGAGAGAGAGAAGGGGCCAACGCCTAGACCAAAGGAAGAGAAAAAAAAAAAAGAGGCCAGCGCCTAGGCCAAAAAAAAAAAAAATTCGATATCGATGAATACAGTGGAATCCTAAAGACAAGGAAATGCAAAAAAATTTCGACTCACTCCGATGAAGACGAAGCACATCCCCACAACCCCTTCCTCTCACAAAAGTCAGAGGCTTGAGGCATAGGGGACAAATGATAAGCCCAAAATTGACTAGGTCAAGCCCAATAAAAATAAATCGAAAAACCCAAATCGAAGTTGGGTCAACCCGTCAGTAGGGAGTCCAAAGGAACCAAGAGGCGTTAAGTATCCCCAAAGGGGGGCGTTGCCCAAGGGTACCCCAAGGGGGCACCACCTAGGTGGTCTCCAAGAGGGCGCTACCCATGGCTTGCCTTCTGTCCCTCTTCTCTATTCCAATACAAGTCCAAGTCCACACCACTCCAAGTCTAAGCTCAAGATCAGGATCAGCTCAGTTCAAGATCATCATCCGATAGAATAGGAACACAAGCGAGAGAATATCGGGATGCGAAAATCCATTCCTACTAAGGTTATACTTACCAAGATAGTGAAAAACTCCTTCCTCACGTCACTGCCTTGGTGTGCCTATATAATGTAAGTCTTCTACATATAGAGGACATGCTCTCCTAGTCTTGAGATCCCCACATACACTACACCATCCCACACCCATTACTCTCTCTCTCAAAGGCATTGTAATACCCCTGAAGAATAATCTCTGACGATTTCATTCATTAATAAATGACCTAGGCCACCGTTGTCGTTCTCGAGAGTGAAATAAGTCATGCGGACCAAACCACTATAATTATCTATGTTGGCTCCCTTATTTACAGCTTTATTATTGATTTTTTTATTTATTGCTCATTAACTCCACCCGCTCATACACTTGACTGTTGATTTTGCACAACAACCAATTTGTGCATCATCAATTAGCATGCTGGCAGAACACAAGCTAGCTCACTGGTATCTTTCTAGTTATTCAAGCTGCCGCTCTGTCAGGATATCATATTTGCAGCAGTTATAAGTTTATAATCGCAGTCAAGCATTTCACTCAGCTTGCCAAACCTTTCCTCATAAAAGAGCCACACCTCAGACCTGAGCAAAGAGAATATCCAAAAAAGAAAACTTAATATGCCAAAGAAACTTACAAAATATATTGATTAAATGGAAGAACATCAGGTTGAAGACTGTACCAATATGCCAAGAACTGAAACGGTGCACACTTTCTGTAAATCACTTCAACATCTCCTTGAACTGTTTCAATTGTAGATGGTCTGCCATGAACCTGGAGTAACATATGGCATGCCTATAAACTCTCAAGCTAAGGATACAAACCCACAATGCATATATTTCACAGGCAATATAAACAAGTCTGGAGAATTCACAAGAGAAAAAAGAGAGAACCCAACCTGTTTTAAATGCCTAACAGTTTCAGAATCTGTTGGAATCACATGGTAAAATCCCATGCACATGAGCACATTTGCACATGTAAAAGGACCAAAGCCATAAATTCCTTTTAGCTGCTCAAACAACTAATTATAGTTGGATAAGGTTGGTGTGCTGCAGGCTTCTTCAAGTTGTCTCAGTTGAATCCTGCCTTCAACAACGCTCCGAGCAAGCTCCAATATGCGACTTGCTCGGTACCCAATTTTGCAGCGCTTTGCCAGAAAATTTTCATCCAGGCTGGCTAATTCTCTAGGGCTAGGAAAATTTCCAATCTTATTGTATGTGTAAAGTTCTGTTCCTTCAGAGGACCAAGGATCAAAACAGGGGATGAATCAAATTGATATATTTCACTTGAAGTCTGATGAGAGTCACATTGCTCGTGGAAGTTCTCTTTATACGATGAAAGGAAGCTCGGACATAGTTTCTCTTTTTTCTGCAGGCAGTCTGTCATTTCAACACAATCTATACTCGACTCAGCATCTCCTTCGGTCTCTACTTTAACATCTGCTAATTTTTTTGCTAACTTTGTAGAACCTTTGTGCACTCCAAGCTCTCTCTTTGATTCTTTTCTTGCAGGTGTCTTTGGAGTAAAATGCTCAGTCTTAGCAGTGTGACTTCTTGAATTAGGAGCATTATCAGCTTCGGCAACTGATATACTGGAGAAGGGGCACGGCAGTTCCAACTGAAGCTCGCAGAGTGCTGCAGCCATGCTCAAAGTCCTTGGCCAACTACAACGAAGAAGAAGGTTAATCCTCCGCCACACGATAACCATTAATATTTGTCAGCTTTTTCAGGTTTCGGCTAATAATTTAACCACATAGAGCTTAACTTTGACATGTATCAATGAGAAACCTCAATCTTTGTCGATCATAAGAATCCCAGATCAGATCTCATTCTATTGCCTTCTTAAGCATCATGCTAAAACCCTCCTCAAACAGATGAAGCAGAAGAGGGAGAGGAGAAATCCCCTGTCTATGATTCCGGAAGTAATCTAAAGTAACTCACCCCTTTGTTGGCCCACCAGGAAAGATCTGAAAGTTCCTTAGGGACAAAGATGATTGCAGCTCTCCCCTCCTCCTTACTTAGTAGCCCATCCTCTCCTACATACTCGATGGAGACCACAATGAACATATCCATACACCTCAAACATCAAGTTTGCAAAAATGCATGCTCCCCAGCTCTATGTTGTAGAGACCCTATAGTCACTATCACGGGCGGAGGGAGGGTGGAGGCAATGGGGGCAGTTGCTCCCACTATATTTCAAAAAAGTTTTAGAGTCCATTTAAAATTTTAAAAAATCTATAAGTTCTCTATAAATTTGCCCCCACCGAAATATTGGTAAAAAAAAAATTAGAGTTAGTTTCAATGGATAAAATTACAACATGAATACAGTTAATGAGAACAACATAATATTTTTGACCAACTATCTACGCTTTAATTGGTCACGATTTTCGCAAATTTAGATTTGGATATACCAAAATGCGATCTATGATTGAGTACGATTGATATGTACGTGTATATGATGAGATTCAGAAAGTGAAACTGAATTAAAATTGAGATATAATTTATTAAAATTCAATTTTTGCATGCTTATAGAGTCAGTTGGATTTTTAATATTTAACTTATTTGGATATGCAGTTTAAAAATAAAATTCATTAATCAAATTGAATTCAAAAATGAGTTTTTGAATCCATTATGGATTTGGGGTTTTCAGATTAAATTTGAATCACACAAAATTTGACCCAAATCTGATCATTGAAGGCCTACTTGCTATTCATTTTGTTCACAAAACGCAACGAGTTCTGATGATTTTTGTTTGATTCGTCTCTTCAATCCAATGGTTTCCCCGATAGGGACAAAATATGGTTCCACCCCTGGTCATTATAACACATTCTAAACTACTTGCCAACTACGTACTCTGTGTCTCATGTTTTACACAATTAAGTTGATAGTTCTACCTCTTGGCCAAAATCCTGTACATATCATTTGGCAATTATTATTATTATTCTTTAAAAATTTTACAGGGGAGGGAGTGGTGAGTATCGAACTCGTGACCTAATAGTCCAAGGGCGGAGTGCGGTTGACCTAATGGCCATCGCTGATCTTCAATCATTTGGCAGTTATTCAATGTAACACAAATTACTTCAAAGAAATATATCTTAAAGCTTAATTTTCCTTTTCTCATTTCACAAAATGACGAGATTGTTAAGAAACTCACAAACCAAAGCAATCCAAGAATAATATTTCATGCACATAGCAGATAAATTTAAGGGCAGGATGAATGAAAGACTATGAGAGTGGGAGACAGAGAGACAAAGTAGACTCACTGCCAATTGCAGAGAAGAATACATTTGAACATGTCCTCGAACAACGTCGGTGATCTAAAGACTCTCCCAAAACCCCTGGCCTTTGATTCCTCATGAACCACCCAAAACTCCCTCAAATTCATCTCTTCCGCTTTCGACAATCGCAGCATTCTCCTCACTTGACCCTACAATGAACTCAATCAATCAACCATTCACAACAAAAAACCGATTTCTGTAGAAAAAAAGCTCAAGACAGTACCAGCAATGCTTGTTGTCGCCGAGGAGAGAGAAAATCAGTGTCGAATACACGGAGACGGAGTGAGTGAGGAAAGTCAGAGGGTGAGAAATTTGGACAAGGAATGAAGAAGAAACAGAGACATCCTGATCGTCTTCGGGATCGAGGCGTAAAGGGCGTCGAAGGGTTTTGGTGAGAGGGTCCCAGTGATTTGGGGCCATCATGAACAATCCGTGACTGCAGATGGCCTTTTCGAGGTTAAATGTGGCCGCAGAGTCACCGAGCGGTAGCTCCACCACCACGCTACGGTGGTCTCCGGCTTCGCTAACGTCTATAGCGGCGGCCGTTGTGTTCAGCTCCGGGTCTTTCGCGGGTTCCATTGTATCGGTGTTACGGGCTGTGGGAGTGTGAATTGGTTGGGGCGACTAGCCAAAATAATTTATATATATTTTATTTAGATATAATTAATCTGCTTAATTTAAATTTTTATCAATTAATTTTATCATTTTTAAATTCATATTTTATCGTGTTTATGTTAATATGTAAAGAATATGACTACTTACTTTGAGTTAATTTGAGTAGCTAAGATTCGTGAATCTCTTGCTAGAAACTCGAGCATTTTCAAAGGTAAGAGTTCCATATTTTATTGAAGCGATAATTTTTTTTCCCTAAAAATGCAGTTGTTAATTATGTTTGTCATGCACTCTGTTTCCTTTATATATTGGTGGGAAAATCACTTATATATAATGAATCTAATTTTACAATATGCTTGAGATAACTTTAAAAACAAATGCTTTTTTGATATTTTGATTTATCATAAATACTTAAAAAAAAAGAAAAAGTAGTGATTGGATCAATTTTTTAAAAATACTTTTTAATAAATAAAAGTAATTTTAGTGCTTAAATAAACTATTAAAGAGAATTAAAAAAAATTAACTTGTACTTTTCAAAAACGTTTTTTAATTAAAACACTTACCTCCTCTCTCCCCGCGATATCACTCACTCTCTGCCACTCCCGATTCTGTCGATCTCTCTGAATCTTTGCCGCTGCTCTCGTATTGTGTTGACATGTAGCCATCATCGACTGCCGACTACCTCCGACCACACTCTCTTCTATCATCTCGACGACACCGGAGAGTTCCATCGACGATGCTAGAGTTTTCCTTTCTCTCACCGATCGTTAATGAAATATGATATTTGGTTTCAGATTTTCTTTTTGTTTCACAAATTCCTTACATTTTTCAATACTACATTCAAATCCATTTGCTACATTTTCAGATCTGTAATTTTCGAATCGTTCTTTTGGGGGTGTCTCGGAAGATTGTTAACTACCTGTTTTGTATTCCATGGCTGGCCGTTACGATCCCAATCCTTTCGACGAAAAAGTGAACCCATTTGCGGTAATTACATAATATTCATATATTTGTGTACTTATGCTTTGCATATATATCGTTGTTATGTAATTCATGGAATGTTTTATGATTGGGTTTTGGTTTTTGGGGCTTTTAATTTTTTTGGTTTATGGATTGTATGATGGGCTTGTTGAGCAATGTGGTTGTTTGATTGGATTTTTGTGGTCCATTTCTGATATTATGTTGTCTGAAATATGGGATCTGTTTGTTGTATTTGATTGTTGATTTAGATTTTTTCTATCAGTGACTTGATTTGTTTTATACGCATGAGTTTTCTTGATTGTGTTCTTTGTAATTTGAACTTTAACAAGCTAAGATATTATCTATGAATCAATATGCATGTAAGGTGTTTGATAAAATGAGCTCCCAATTCTATGAAGGGGAAGTGTAGATGTTCATGGGCTTCGATGAATCTTTTGAGACAGATTAAGGATCTTTTGGGGATGGTTGAGTTTGAGTCGAGGCATGTGTATAGAGAAGCCAATATGGTTGCTGATAGTTTGGCGAATCAGGCAGTCTCTGTTACTCATTTTTCAGCCAAGTATTTTACGGGACAGCATTTGCTCAGGAACATTGGGAATGTGCATCCTAAATGTTTCAGAATATTAATCCCTTGGTTTGAAGTTGTGGTTGCAAATACAAAGCTTTTGGTAGGAAATGGCTGCACTGCAGATTTTTTGTTGGAAGAAGTTCAAGTTTATTGTATTTCATTAGCTTCGCAGAATGATAGACTGATTTGGCAGCTAAATTCTATAGGAAAATTTTCAGTTAGAACAACATGGGAGCTTGTTCGAATTAAAGGAATGGCCAATCTTGCAGGGGAAATTAATGATGCAGACTCTTAACGTTCATTCTTCAATTACAGCAGTTATTCGAATTAAGTGGGTCAGCTGGTTATGTCCTCCCACTAGCAAACTCAAATTGATTGCTGCTGTTTGCGCTTCATCTGGACTGCTATTCAGCTGCTGTCTGCTGTTTCAGTTGGACTCTCGGCTGTCTGCCTTCAACTGCTTCAGATGGGCTCCTTTTTGCTTCAGCTGGAACCGCTTTTCTGTTTCAGTTGGATTCACATAGCTAGAGTAGCTCAGCAGTCTGATTGGTTCACCTTTTGCTTTTCTTTACTTATTTGACGTAATTAGATTGCATCGAGAGATAAGCTATATACGTTTCCTATGTAAGTGTAATTTAATTTTTTAATTGAAGGGTATATTTGTAATTGTGATACAAATAAATACTTTTTTAATTGACCATCCAAACACAATTTTTGTAAAATCATTTTTATTTAAGCACTTTTTTTAATGAGCATCCAAACTATGCTTATGGAAGAAAATATTTTTTAATAAAGTGTTTTTTAAAAAATAATTATTCAAGAAGTACTTTTGAATTCAATAAATCATTCCACACAGTGTCTAACTCCATTAAAGATTTCCACAAATAAAAGTAAGAATTAAAAGTTTTTAAATAGAAAAATTTTGGATGATATACATTTCTTTGCAAACTAATAAAAGTCTGCACATCTGTTAATTTTTGTGGGGAAATTCTACTGTACCCAAAAAAAATCAATTTGATACCGTACCGTCAATTAACTTTGAGAGGAGAAATCATAACTGATTAAGGAAAGGGTACGATCGATTACAGGCACTCATGATCGATCATAAGAATTTCGATATCGGTCTCAATTTTTTATGATCGATCATGCCTTTTAAAATCATAATTAATGATAATGCACAAAATATGTTTATGTAACATATCAAATATTTAATACAGTAATTAAGAAGGATACTCAACACAAATAAAAACAAATAAAGTGGTTTGGTACCTACTCTACTATAAAAATTTATAGTGGCCCGAGTGTATTATTACTCAAGAAGTGTAGGTGCTTAGATATGAGTCTTGTGAGATGCCCTCATGTGTAGGCGGAGCTTATAATTTGTAGATAAATAAGGGCTCCAATGGAGCCTTGATTTGAGGCGTCATCCTCATAACTGATTTTGTGAAGTTCGTCTTATCCTCGTAATAGGTGAAGTGATATCTGAGTGATTGTTTAAAACTCGTTTTATCTCGTATCGGACAAAGTGATCTCACGAGATTGACGATATTTCCCCGATGACTGTGTTATATGGAAATTTCCTGGTGTATTAGTTATGGACTGAATCTCCCAAGATGACAAGGCTGACCCGATTGAGCTTCTTTGATCTTGTGGTGGGATTGACCTGTGTATTTAAATTTGGTTTGGTTTGGTTTGCATCTCTAATGTGGGTCTGATTTGAACCGAACTCATTAACTTATACCTCAAAAAAAATTATAATATAATCTGAAAAAATTATAATTTTTAATACAATACCACCAACAATACCGTAACGTTTACCATTTTTGTGAGTACAACACTCATCGGAAAATTTGTCCTCATCAATAGAATTCAGGACACAAATACACCTGACGGAGAACATTCTTGCAAGGAGTGGGTAAGAGTTTTGTGGTTACTGCTCAACAAAATATATACCATTTGTTTTTGTATTTTTGGAAATTTATGAGATTGATATAAGTTTTTTTTTTTCATTTTCGGATTTGGTTCATCTTTGATTACAATATAATTGAAAGATCTTCCAATTCAAGTTGAACAATTAAGCATCTATCCACATCAACAAATCTTAATCAAATGACTCCTTTTCAATTTTTAAGAAATCATAATAAAATCAGTAGAGCGTTTGTCTATGAAGATATTATGATCAAAACTCACACAAAATAATCACTACTCGTCTATGTGTCAGATGAACCAAAAATTGTGTTTTGTATTCTTTGATAAACACTCCGCTGTGATTTTCTTGAAAAACTATTGTGAGATTCAAGTTCATATTAAAGTGTTCCAAACTCTTTTTTTTAGTCGAACATAGTACACTTTGTAGTAAAATTTTTTCATTCACTTCATACAACATTAACTTTCTCGTAGATGATAACAGATTTAAACATAGAACGACTCTAAATTATGAGCGAGTCTCACGTTAATTTTGGCTCAAATTAATCAAAAAATAAAAATGGATTAAAAAATTACAATTGAAAAAAAAATAAAATTGAAAATGAACATTAAGTTTATAAAAAATGCATTAGACCTCGGACCAGTCTAATCCATCCGCTGGTGACATTCACATGGGAAGTTCCCACAATCACACAATAGTTCTGTTTTATACCGACTATTCTTTGGAGTTCAACGATTATCTATCGTGAATTGATCTGAGTTAGAAATTATCCCTAATGGGACAAGAGTGACTAATCCTTAGAAGGTGTGAAAAGAAATTAAACTTAAGACATACGAGTTATCATAGACCAAATTAAACTACTGAACCACGCTTAAGGATTATGATCGAACACGATTTAAGAGGCTAACAATCCTGCAATATCCTGACCATTTGTTTGGGACGTACAACTTTCGATTTTTAGCCTCACAAATACATCCGGACGAAATTTGGATTTGGTTATTATATTAAAAAAAATAATTTATTTTTATTTTGTATTTAATAAAATTTTGACTAGTGTACTTTTTAATTATTTTTAATTTTATAATGAATTTCTATAATTTAATTAAATTAAAATTCACTATTCAAAATCAATTATAATATGATCCTCATATTTTTTGGAGTATCGAATAGTTATCCACAAAATTTTGATTTTGATGGCACTCATTTCATAGAGGTTGATTTACTTTTGTTTGATACTCCATGAGGAGCAGGAATTGCAACTTGGATGGAGCATCATGCCCTAAATTTTAAATATTTTATTTATTGGAGGAGCAATTTTTAATTTCGAAATTAGATTAAGTTTAAAATATTTTAATTCGATGCAAACTCAGTCATTATTTAAATTTAAGTATCTCTCTCTCTCTCTCTCTTTCTTTTCTTTCAAAGCTTTTCACTTGCCTATAAGAAAAAATTAGAAATCTCGCATTTTTAGTCATTTTACTTTAATTATTTATAATACGTCTAGAAACAATTGAGTCATACCTTTAAAACACAATTTCAAATTACTCCTAAATTTCCTATCTCATTCTTTTATTCCTTACTCCTAAATTTTAGTTGTATTTTAATTCATTATTATTAATAATATTATGATTGTAGTAAATAAAGAAAAAATGAGAGAATGTTGAAATTATGTGGACCGTTGTAGCTAAAAGGCAAATCTTCCATTACTATCACGATAGTGAGTGAGAAAAAGGCTCGAGAAAGGTGGTGCAACATGATCACGTATAGTGATTGAAACGTAGGTGATGTTACTTTTGTGGCTATTGGTACTAACACTTGCCCACGGCTACACCATACTTCATCACTCTTCTCTTGGCCAAAGCTTAAAGTGCAACCAAAAATTTCTTCGTGGGTAGTCATTTAATACTCTTGTTAGATTGGATTATTTATTTCAATTTAATCTATATGAGCAAATTATTTTTCAATTTATCCTACTCATTCATATATTGCATAAGTTTAAAAAAGACGGTTGCATCCAAATCCCATTAAAAGTTAGGCTTGGAGTACTTTGACTATTTTCAATTTTAATACCAATCAGAATGAGTTTTATATCACATATCATGTGGGATTCATTTGCACCGCGTATGTGATATTACGTGATACTATAGCATCAGATTGATATTAAGTCATCTTATTGGACTATACTTATAAATAACCCAAGAATATTATTAATTTAGCATAAATTTTGTGAAATTACTCAATTAACTGAACATAAACTAAATAACACAAAAAAATTGAATGAGAGAAAATTTTAGAGAATGATATTACTTTATTTCTTTTTATTTTTCTGCACTTCACATAAGTACCAAAGAGGTTCCTCATATAGGTAGAAGAGACAATTCGGCGGAGCTAGACTTTTAACTTTTCAACTACGCTAAAACAATTATAGGCTTTATGGGACAATTTTTTTAGGACCAAGTTATTTACGTCATTAATTAAATCCTTTTAACGATGACATGTGAATTTGTCACTAATGGTCAAAGATGAGTGACGACAATACTATTTATCACAAAAAGTTAACTTTTAGTAATGAATAATTGTTCGTTATCGTAATTTCGTCACTGAAAATGTGAGAAATTGGATAAATAGTCATAAATTTTATTGTCGTCATTAAAAATGATAAACAAATACTTTTAGTAATGAGATTAGTCCTCTCTAAAAGTTTTAAGGTTTTGCTGGTGATTTTGATGTTGTCACTAAAACAATAATAGCCTTGGTGATAAATATGATATCGTCACTAAAACACTAATGGCCTTAGTGGTGACTTTGATGTCATTATTAGAACTTTCATAATTTTAGTGACAACATTGGTGTTGTTATTAAAACTTTTATATTTTTAGTGCTAATTGTCAAGTCGCCATTAAAACTTTCATATTTTCAGTAGCTAAATTAATTATGTCACTAAAAATAATTTAGTTTATGTCACTACATAAGTGTTGTCAAGTGACTTATTTTATATCGTTTAAAAATTTTCAAATTATACCATATCGATATGTCATTTCTCACATCACCTCCTAACTTGCAAAAATAAAAAATATAACGCTCTTGTTATTTCTAGACTAAACTATACCTTAATTAAGCTTGTTAAGAAAATTGTGAAACACCCTTAATACATCCAAGTAGTAAAACTATAAATTTATTTAATTTAAATATCAATACTCATGCCACAACCTAACTAGTATAGTGGTGTAAGGCAAGTTGAAGTCAACTCGAGTTAAATTAAAAAATTTAAAACTATCAAACAGAGCTTAATTCAAAAATTTCAATGTCATTCATGGATAAATTTTGAAATTGGATGATATGCAAGTAGGATGAAATTTGAATAAAAATCGACTTCAATTGAGGTTTGATTTTGAGGTAGATAATATATATAAAAATTCGAGTTGAAATTCAATTTAATTAAAGTTTGAATCTCAAGTTATGCAACTAGGGCGTAAATTTGATTTCAATTTGGATTGGATCCTAAAAAGTAGAGACATAAATTGAGTATTGTTTGAATTCAAATTGGGTTGATAATTTTTTATCCAAACTTTGCTAAATATTGAATTTTTTTGGGTT